ACGGCAATCCAATAGAATTTGTATGTATCCATTCAAAAAATGTAAGTTAAAAGTAAAAAATGTTCACACATTTCAAAAATATGCTTGTAACACAAAAAATATTTATGCAATGTACAAAAAATGTTTGAGTAGTTAAAAAAATGTGTCGTACCATTTAGAAAAATGTTTAATGTGTATTTGAAAATGTTTCAATGTGTATTTGAAAAATATTTAACAAGTAGTCCAGAAAGTTTTCAAAAAGTAGATAAAATGTTAAACATCTATATAAATAAATTTTCAGATATATACAAAGTTTACAATGTGTATTAAAAAAATTAGATATCAAAATGTATATATAAATATTGTTAAACATTTATAAAAACTATTCCCAATGTATACGAAGATTTAGAATGTGTATGAAAAAATAGACATGTGTTAAAAAATTAAAAGTAAAAGATAATAGCACAAATAAATCCGATGAAAACTAAAGATATAAATAAAGAAAAGTGGAAGAAAGAACAATAATAAAAATGAAAAATAAACAAAGATAATACATGCCAATAGTGAAACCGACAAAGAAAACCCATGCGTAGCTATAGCACTAAGTTGGCCTAGTAGCACCACGCCAGAGACGAGACTGAGTTTATGGGCTGTTTGAATCATTGCCCCCAAGACGCCCTGCCAAAGTATTGGTTGTTGACCAGCTCTAGGTGCCCATTTGAATGCAAGCCGAATAATTGGTGTGCCCACATCTCCACAACAACTCTAATTCAATTCTCAGCCAATATTTTGGCAAGGCATGGGTTTCTGCGCCAATATTTTGGCAAGCAAGCTGGCGCTGGCTCAAACCAAACAGCCCCTAAGTCTCGCAACGGGCGAGAAATAGTCCTGGCGCCAAGGATGATCGAGCCGAAAAAGAAACAAGTAGCTCTGATGAAGCCCATCAGAGGCCTAATTAGTACCAGGGCCTAAGGGCTCTGTATCGTTGGTCCACTCCGGAGTGTGTTGTGGTGGTTGCCCAGGCGCTCCACTGCGCATCGCCCCCACCTTTTTCATCGCATTCTACGAGACCCGCAGCCTCGTCTCTTCCTCCTCTCCCCGACCCGATCTCCTCCTAGGTTTCGCTCTCCACCACCGCGGAACGAACCGGAAATGGCGGCGCGGCACCTCAGATCCGGCCTCCCGCTCCTCCAAGCTCGCCTCGCGGCCAACGAATCCGCGGCCGTCGCTCAGGTACCGATTCCCTTCCCCGCCCCCCCGCTTTGTTTGGCTTAAACCGAAGATGCCATTTCCCTCAGATTCCGGTAGCTCGCCGACCCCCTTAGCTGATCTAGGTTCTCGTCGTGTCCCTGACATCCTTGGATGGTCTCCCCCGGGGATTTTAATCTGTCGTCTCGTCGAATCGATTTCTGCGTGTTTTTTCTTCTGGTTGATTCGTGGGGTTTGACGTGCTAGTTATGATGCAGGTATCGAGGGGGCTGGCAACGGAGGCGGATAAGCCTAAGGAGAACAAGATCAAGGTAACTCGAGATCAAGCATTTGGTTGGATTATTGCTGTTGTCGTTGTGTTGCGGTCTGCGGATGTACTAGTTTAGGACCGCGAGATTTCTCTCCGTTTCGTTGTGAGTGGCGCAGATTACTCTGACGGTCTGGTCAACTTATCAAGGGACCATAAGAATCATGCAGCTGTTTATGTTTGCCTGCCTGCCTGCGCAAAGAAATATTTTTCTTGTTGGGATCCCATATGTGATGTCATTATGGCCAAAATGCCTTGATCTTGAGAAACTTGGCCTTTACCGATTTTAAACTATTTCATATCCTATTGGAGTGTAACCATGCTTGTTGCTATCACATACTGCAATGATCACTCAATTAGTTTACTCTGCAAAGACAGATTGTTCACTTTGCATTTGTTTAGTGTATCAATCGCAGCGCAAAAAGGTTCATGCCATTGATGGATGTATTCTCTTGTCTTATGTTTTACATAATCTGTTTCAAATTTTGAATACTACTTGTGCAATTCAGTAAATTGGTTACTTGGTGGCTTTGCCTGTTGTTTTGTCCTTACTTGTGTTCTTATGCCATAATAGGTTCCAAAAGCTCTGTATGGTGGCACCGGCAACTATGCTAGTGCGTTGTTCCTTGCAGCAGCCAACGCAAATTCGTTGGAAAAAGTTGAATCCGAGATTCTCGATGTTGTAGGGGCATCCAAGAAGAGCCCTATGTTTTCTCAATTCATGAAGGACACATCAGTGCCTAAAGAAACCAGGGTGAAGGCTATAACTGAAATATTCTCTGAAGCCGGGTTTACTGACATCACAAAGAAATTCTTGTGTATGCTTCCAATCCACTCAACCTCGTATGTCTATACTAGTTTTTAGCAGCATGTGCATTAGTGATGTACCAATCCAAATGCGTGGGACTATTTTTTAGTAATTTTGTTTCCAACGTTGCTTGCTTTGTCAACAGTTTGCTTTCTTTTGCAGTAATATTTTCAATACAAAGTAACACCCTTTGCATTTCTTATCTGTTATGATATGTTGTTTTCAGTTGTCTTAGTTAACAACCTAATTTAAGTATCGATCGCAGGAGTTTCTTTTCAATTAAGGTAAATGGTATCACTGATAAGTGATGATATGCATACAATCTAAAACTTAGAGAACTTAGTTAAAAGGAGTTTTACTCGCATCTAATTTTTTCTTTTATGTGAAGCTGCACTGGCATCCAATGGAAGACTGAAATATGTTGAGCGCATTGCTGAGAGATTTGTTGATTTGACCATGGCACATAGGGGGGAGGTGAAAGTTGTTGTCAGGACTGTTGTTGTAAGTTGTTAACCTGATATCCCACTATTTATTGTCTCTTGCTACTAAGAGCACTGTGTGTTTGACGCTGGTCGAATTTCTCAGTGTTCACTTTCACATATTAAAGGGAAGTTTGATGCATGTGCATATGATTGGCCTTACCTTGATTCTTGGTAACATGAAATGACCAGTTGTTGTCTTCTTTCGTATATTAATTTGTTATGAAGTCCTTGGTGCCTTCCTGGTTTACTACTGTTGTTTTTGTTGATATGTCCCTGTAGTTAGCTATAATCTATTCTTTTAAGCTGAAAAGTAGGGTTGCCTTCTGCTCTGCACCAACAGAAACCAACTGCAACTAAAATGCTTGTTAGTTGGGCTTGCTCTTCTTTCATGTGCCTAATAGTATAGCATGATCCAGTGAACTAACAAATTGCTGCCTTTGGGGGTTTAGTAATAATTGGGATGAAAATAGGATTTTTTTTGTCTGCAAAAATGTTTAAATGCAGATAATATTTTACAAGTTACCTGCTTGAGCTAAAATTCATTCCTTGAAATTATAAAGCTGAGTTGAATTGATCCGAAACTATTTGTTATGGCAGTAGGAAGTCTTTTAGTTGATTGAGTTGGAACGTTTGTATTTGCCATTACTCGAAGTTCAACTCTTAACAGGCTTATGTTAGAATTCCTGCCATATGTTGATTGAGTTGGAACTTATTCATTTGGCAAGCTCTGTCGGAGAAAACTCTTAATAGGCTTATCTTAGAATTCCTGCCATATGTTAACGAGGAGCTATTTACCATGACAAAGTGTGGAAAACTTGCCTCACATTTTTTAAGCTGGTTTGTCAATGCGTGGATGCATTCTGTCTGCAACTTCTGTTATAGATCCTGTCTGTGTTGACAATAGTTTGGTTTTGGTTGCTGACTTGTCTGTTTTGTGCTGTTAGCCACTTCCTGATAAGGAGGAGAAAGAACTTAAGGAGACCTTGCGTGATATCCTTGGGAAAGACAAAACCATCTTGGTTGAACAAAAGGTAAGTCCTTGATCCACAAGTTAGCTCTATAGCATGTGAGGTTTCAAGTGATATTGAACAAACTTCAAATTGTATTTTCTCTGCAGATTGACCAGAGTATCATGGGAGGACTGGTGATTGAATTTGGGCAGAAGGTGTTTGACATGTCGATCAAGACTAGGGCGAAGCAAATGGAGGCATTCTTGAGACTACCCTTTGACATCTAACCGCCTTCGGATCTAAATCAACACCAGAGTGCAGTGGCTGAGCCGCTGAAGGTTCCCTCATGTCTGCTTCTTCGATGTGGTCTTGAAATAAAAGCTTACCTTTACAAGAGAACGACACTCTGTTTTATTTTGTCTTGTGGGTTAGGAAGAAGCCCGCTGAACAATCTTTAATTTCCTTTCTGCCAAAAAACATGGATAAAAACATGAGGAGAGGTCATGGAAAGTTTTTAATTCAAGTGTTTGTAATTTTCCTTTGAAGTGCTCCTTTTTCCTGGTATTCAGTGCTGTATGGAATAATACGATGACAGTACATTTCAGTGCATTTTCCCATAAGCTTCGGATGAGCCTATCAGATATGTTAGATACGGATCATATCTAGCACCCCAACCTACACAATGAATCTATATAATTTTCCTTGGACAACCATGGTGATCGGGACTGCTTGAATGATATGCCGACTTCATCTAAAAAGGGGAAAGTTTGTCTGCTCTAGTTGACTGAAACCGTCGCATTTCTCATGTTCTATGTCGGTTCTCTGCAACTGGCGGCTACCCGATCGACTAGTCCAAGTGTCCAAGAATAGCTCTGAAACCGCACCCTTTCTGTTCGAGGATACACAGAAACCCGTTAACTAATCCACCCGAAGACACAAGAAAGGCCATACATAGCAGCACGTGATGCACTCACATAATAGGCGTGGTTGCCCCGACGCGTGCCGCTCGCTTCCTGGATGCGTAGACCAAACTTCGGTACAAGAAACACCTTAGCTCTGGCCTAATAAGCGGGGTGGCATGAGTTGGCTTGGAAGAATCAACGAGGTCGACCCCTCAAGTCACTCGAGCCGAGCGGCCCAAGCAACCCAAAGCCTCCGCCTCACTCTTCCAAGCAAGCCATGCAGTTAGGCTAGCTAAGTAGCCAAGCTCTAGCAGCTACCCATTCCTCCATCCATGCCCTCTCCCTCTCCTCCTCCAGCCACCGATGTCTTGCGCGGCGGCGGAGGCCGGCCTGGTGGCCATGGACTGCGTGGTGGTGTGCTGCTGCTGCCCGTGCCTGGTGCTGCAGATCACCGTGTTCCTCTTCGTCCGGCTGCCCCGGAAGGTGGTGGTCAAGTCCAAGAGGGTCTTTCTGCGGCGATGGCACAGGAGGAGGAGGAGAAGATCGGCATCGGCAGCCGCGAAGAGGCTCTCCAGAAGCGGCAGCACGGCCTCGTCCTCCGGCATGAGGCGCCTCGAGGAGCTGCTGGACGGCGGCAGCGACGGCGACGTCCGCGGTAGCTGGAAAGAGAAATGCTTCGCCATGGACGACGATGATGGCGGCGGCGGCTGGAAGCAGAGGTGCTTCGCCGTCGACGGCTGCGACGACGACGACGGCGTGTGGGAGGCGCTGGTGGAGCAGGAGGGGCTCTTCTGGTTCGGGAGCTTCTGGGGCCGGACGGAGCAGGGCGACCCGGTTTCTGCGGAGGACCAGATGTACGCAGGCTTGAGCTTGCCGGTAGTCCTAGAGAGAGTGCGCGATTAGGCAACGACGATGCAGTTTGATGCAAACGGCTTGCATTGCAGCTTCTACTACTAGATGAGGTTTCTACTTTTCCATCTGGCATCATTTGGTCATTGCACTGATGATTCCATTCCTTACTGTACATATGTTATCATCATGGTACGCCTATCAATCAAAGGAACAATTCCTGAACAATAGACAGCGGGTTTCAGTTTAATCACTGCAGAGAGACAGATAGTGACCGGAAGAGCAGTCTATAAATAGTTCGAGTTAAGAACCCTGATCCTTCTCCGAACCTGATCCTCGGAGGAAACGGTTATGTAACCACGGGGCAAAGTTGTGTAACCACCTCGTGTTGCTTTGTTCAATTATCCTTGGTTTGGATGCATGTATGTATGTATACTTTGCCTACCCGGTACGCCCGTAGGTACGTTTCGTGGTGCACCTGGACCGCACGTCGTTGCCGCGGTCGGCATCGGTCAATCGGCCGTGACAGCAACTTCATCCCGTAGCTGTCTTTTTTTTTTTGCATGGTAATACGTGTCCCATTCATATCATAAAGAACAAAGTACAAGTCACGTAAAGACCGACATGACAAAACTAAAAATGATGAGGACATGACTACCTTGAATATGACCAAATATATTGCATACATGTATATTTGTGAGATGTATGGGACATTTGTACAATACACATATGAAGATAAGGGAGAAAGAGATGTTTACTTGCTGTTCAAAAAGTTCTCTCACGTCACTTTTGGCCCAAGAGAAGATAGAGTCCGAATCTCTCATGTTCTGGACTCAGATTCAGACTGCACAGACACACCTAATTCAAAACGCCAAGAACTTTTTCATCCGGACTCCGAATTGGGTGATTTTTTTTTGTTGGAAAGTAGATTCATGCTCTTTCCAACCCAATTGGAATCAACTTAAAAACCGCCCGGAGCGTTGAGTTATGGACGAAACAATCTGACACTGCAGCAGAATCCAAGTCAAATTACAAGTCCAAAGGTGTTACGTCACCTCCACTTGGGCCCATGAGCCTTGTATGACCTAGGGTTGGTTTTAGGCTGCCTTGGGACGTTCTCCCACCTCCTTGGCCACATCCTTGCTCCTATATAAGTAGATTCATCTAGTAGCTTTTTCCTTGGGATTTGTTTAGTTAAAAGTTAGCCATTGCAACTTCGTGTACTTCGTTTGTGTCCAACGACCAGACCAAGACCGCTTACGGATCCCCACCTTTATCAATACTTCATATATACTCGCAATATTCAGATTGCTTTTATCATATTCTTGCTTGTTCTTATTGCTTGCAGGAATAGACCTTCGTGGTCAGGTTGATTGTGCTCCGGCGTGGTCAATAACCTCTCGGAGTTGGTTTAGCGATTGCTAAGGCGCAACGTCGTGCACGTTTGTAGTCGGATCGTCAAAGTCATCTTCATCAAATCGATAGTTATCATCTCATCGAAAGATAAGGACACCTCCGCCTCTATCAGAAAAGATAGCAGGACATCTCTGAGCTTGACACCAACGCCCGTCACTGCCTCCGGCACCACCACAGCAACCATCGAAGAAAAGAATGACGAATCACCTCCTCATCCGAGCTCGACGCGGCTCCATCGCTGATATGCAGCTTTGTGGACCTCCAAGGTGGCTCACCAAAAGTGAAACCCTTACCGTTAAACGAATCAGACCGGGGCAACACCCCGGACACGCCATCGAACTCCAGATCTGGCACCCCACCACGACTAAAACGCCGAAGGAGGAAACCATATCTGTCATTCACCAACCACGAGCCCAACACATGCTCCGTCTTCCCGATGTCGTCGATGCAGACCACAATCTGCATCCGTTCCTGGACTACATCCCAAGCTCCGCGCCGACGCTGGAGCAAACGCCGTCGCAACGGCGGAGCCCGAGGACACATGTCACCACGAGGATGCCGCCGCCGCCACGCCATCCTTGCTTGAACAGACTGGTTTTCAAATCCATCCCCAACCATAGGACCGATGGCCTCGTCAGAAAAAGATCTAAAGAATCTTTATTCAGCATTCTCATCGTCGCCGCCGAAGCAAAGACAATGAACAACCTAAAAACCTAGACTATAAGAGAGTAAAAGCGATCCACACGCGTGGATCCGGCGACCCCCGTCACCACCGACGATCGAGGTCGCCGGCAGAGGGGAGCCGCCGGAGAGCGTCCTTGGAAGATCGGCCTCCCCTGGCGGCGGCTAGGGTTCCAGGGAGGAGAGGAAAACGCCCGTATAAGGGCTAACCATCCCGTAGCTGTGTAGCTGATGATTGCTTGCTTGTTGCCCGCCAGCTCCACGGGCCGAGACGAGGGGTACGTACGTACAGATCAAGTTCCGCAAAACTGACACGCCTGCGTTGTGACCACCGCGCTCTACTCTAAAGCAGCCGCGATATCAGGCGTACGCGTATGGCGACTTTGGCACGGAAGATGAGCAACCGGACGAAGATCTCACCGTTGCACGTGCGGCTCCACTCCACGGGCACGGCTTCGGCCCCGCTAGCCGCGCCGTGTAGCGCCTTGCCGTACTCCGAATAGTAAGTCGCCTCGGCCGAGGAGATGCCCGCGGTCGCATGCAGAATCCCTCGTCAGCCGCGCCGCGAATCGCCTCGGCCGAGGAGATCCTCGCGGTCGCGGCAGCCAGAATCCTTCGTAAACCGCGCGCCGACGAGCCGACGACGCGCGCCCCCCCCGGCGCCGAAACGATCAGGCCGACAAAGGAACCAACCCCTATACTAGGCGGGCAAGAGGCAACGGGCCCGCGTCTCCTGCGCCAGCACGAATCTCAAAGCGCAGAAAAGTCGTGGCCGGGCCTCCGCCACTTGTCCCCTCACGTGGCCGAAACGCCGCCTGTCCTTTTCTGTGCTGCTCGGTTGCACTCGGCCGGCCGTCCGTCCGTGGCACCAACCAACCGCGCCGTCGATGGACTGTACCGTACGAGCCCGCGTCAGGAGCCCGTCGCCGGCCGTCTGCCGCTTCTCCGGAGAGGGGCGGCGCCGCCAGGCGTCTAGGGTGTCCTTCCGGCCCATGGCGTCCGCAACTCCCGTGGAGGAGCCCGCGGCGGCGGCGGCGGCGGTGGTTGAGGCGGAGCCCCGGCCGAGCGGCGCCTCCTTCATCCGCCACCACCTCAGGAGCCTCGCCGCGTACCAGCCCATCCTGCCCTTCGAGGTATCCTTATCCGTCCGACGCTTAGACTCTTTTCTACCGTGTAGTGAAAGATGCTCCGCTTTTCGCTGCGCTCGCGAGGTGCTTGTGGAAATGTCGCGCGGCGGCGTGATTGTGCTTTGGGAATGAAATGTTTAAAAACGAGCTTCTGTGGCGTCTCAGCTTGCTAAATTTAGTTTCGAAGTTGTAATCTGCGATTCCTTGATGTTGTTTGACCAAATTGTAAAATTGGAACTCTTGCTAGGTGCTATCTGCTCGGCTGGGGCGTAAACCAGAGGATATAATCAAGCTGGACGCCAATGAAAATCCATATGGTCCACCACCGGAGGTGCGTGCTTCTAATTCCCATATTCGGAGTAGTCTAAATCCATACGTCGATGAGTGCTTACCTCTATCGCGTTGTACTTGGGCATTCACAAAGGACATGACATCTCAGCAGCAACATTTCTACTTTTGTTAGAGTGAGTCTTAAAATTCAATTGAAAAAACAGTAGTAGCATACTAGTATCGAATATCTTTTTGAGCCTGTAACAGAAAATATCAATATCTATATATGAGCAACAAAAGCACCAAGATAATTCATACCTCCCCTTTTCTATATCTGATGGATACCTGTATCTGTACAGGTAGCTGCAGCATTAGGAAATTTAAAATTCCCTTATGTCTACCCTGATCCTGAAAGCCGCCATTTGCGTGCTGCTCTCGCTGAAGATTCTGGGCTTGAAACTGAGCACATACTTGTTGGATGCGGTGCCGATGAGCTAATTGATTTGATTATGAGGTTAGTTTGTAGCTCATCTTGCACCTGCTTTTTGTTGAAATCTTCATCTCAAAGTTGAGTAATCATGAATGGTGCAAATACAGATGTGTACTTGAACCAGGCGACAAAATTGTAGATTGCCCTCCAACTTTTACCATGTATGAGTTTGATGCTTCAGTCAATGCTGCACTTGTCATCAAAGGTAGCTAATGATCTCTTGGTCTTTTATTTATCAAACCTTCCATGATTTTTATCTTTTAAACCTTATGTAATTTGTGAACCTGATTTGATATGCCATTCATCATTCTTTGCTGTAGTCCCAAGACTTCCTGATTTCTCCCTAGACATCGCAAACATTGTCAAAATGGTTGAACAGGAGAAGCCAAAATGCATATTTTTGACATCTCCTAACAACCCAGATGGCAGGTGTATCATTGCCACTCAATAGTCGTGTCAATTTGTTTGCTTATTGTTCATATTGCAGTGTTTTAAAAATCATTTCAATTTTGTTTGTCAGTGTAATCAATGATGAGGATCTTTTAAAGATCCTTGACCTTCCGGTACTTGTAGTGCTGGATGAAGCATATGTTGAGTTTTCGAGCCTTCAATCAAGGATGACATGGGTTAAGAAGCATGATAATTTGATTGTTCTCCGAACATTTAGCAAACGAGCAGGTGTGTGATTTGTGTTCTATCGTTTTAGTGTGTATATGAAGGTTATGTGTTATGAAGAATCAGAAGGAAGTGAATTTATCCACGAATTACTGGTGATGCAGGTTTAGCTGGGCTCCGTGTGGGTTATGGAGCATTTCCTCTAAGCATTATTGAGTACTTATGGCGGGCCAAGCAGCCTTATAATGTTTCTGTGGCAGCAGAAGTCTCTGCATGTGCTGCCTTGCAGAACCCAGTCTATTTGGAGGTACATCTTTCAGAAAGATAATTCAAATGTAATATTATTTGAAAATTTAAACTTGGCTAATACGTCTGCTGGACCTTTCATTCTTGAAGAGCGTGAAAAATCTGCTACTACAAGAGAGGGAGAGGCTGTATAATCTTCTCAAAGGAATACCTTACCTGAAACCATTTCCCAGTCATGCTAACTTCATTCTGTGTGAAGTCACGTCAGGAAAAGATGCAAAGAAAATAAAGGTATGGCTTGCTTATTATTGCACTGTCCAAGTTTCTGCATTATTTCATTGAGATAATATAGCCCCTTTAATTGTGATTTTGAGGTGACAAAATTTTGAGAACCCGGAACTGCGATATGGGTTATCTGTGTTCGAGATCATTGCTATTCACACTTTTAATAATATGTGCAATTTATGTCCCATTGAACAATTCAGGCCATGCAACTTTATTCACTTGAATTAGTGAAAAATATTTGCAGGAGGATCTTGCAAAGATGGGAGTGATGATCCGCCACTACGACAAGAAGGAACTGAAGGGTTATATTCGTATTTCAGTTGGAAAGCCTGAGCACACTGATGCACTGATGGAAGGCTTCAAAGCACTCAAACTTTGAGAATTTGCCATGATTTACTTTGATGGAAGCAGTGAAGAGCTTATTGAGTATGTGTCTACCCATTACTAGGCTTGTAGTACACTGGATGCAGTCTATCAATTAGACACTGCTTCCCTCCAACATCGGTAAAGTGCATTCTTCAGATTTCAAGCCAACCAGGGTCAATTAGTTTTGAATAAAAATATCTATGTTTAACTAGTGCTGTAGGTCCAACCATTTAGCCATAAACTCTGTGTCAGCAAAGTTACTGTGCAGAGCAAGACTTTTTTTAGAGGTTGAGTTCCTGATTGGTGTTTGCTTCTTTTTGACTGTACTTGCTTGCTTGGTTGTTCATGGGAAAGTCAAATGTTATATGGTGAATAAAGAGGCCATTACCATAATCTTACCTTTCTTCTACCAGTGCTTTTGTCAGTACAATATATCATGAGGAACTGCACTCTTCAAAGGTTCAACACAACCTTTGCACAACACTTTGACTTTATTATAGTTCAAACGAAATACAGCGAAGGACAGTGTACGAGAAAAATACAGCAAAGGAAGCTGATAGCAAATTAAAGCAACCAGTTTTTGTTCCATTTTATTTAGGTATAGATATATTTATGGGTGATGGCCATTGCAACGGCCAAGCATCTTTTATTTAGTTTCTGGTAACCGGCATGCTGATGCAGGCGTGCAGCTGCGGCTCCATGGATGGACGCTCACTGGTACTGGCTGGCGAGCTTGCCTTCCTTGACAATGTAGTTGGGCTCCGGGAAGTCCTGTCCCTTGAAGTACCTCTCCAGCATGTCCTTCACACCGGCCGCGTACCTCAGCTGCACCACATAAATTGTTTACCGGTTAGCCATGGAGCATAGCGACTAGCGAGGCTTGGAGCTTGCTGTGTAGTGCGACTGACCTGGCCGTCAATGGTGGTGCCGGAGATGTGCGGGGTCATTGCGTTGTTGGGCATGTACCTCCACGGGTGCTCCTTGGGCGCCGGCTGCGGGTACCACACGTCGCCGCCGTATCCTGATCACAGCAGCAAGATTTGTGAGTTGAGACCAACAGTGGAATGTTTGTCTTTGTAGAATAAAACAGTGTTAGAGAGCAACCCGGAATTCATCTGTTTTTACCAGCGATGTGCCTACTCTTGCAAGCGTCTGCCACTGCCTGCGTATCCATGATCGCTCCACGAGCGTTGTTCACGATGATGACGCCTTTCTTCATCTTGGCGATCTTCTCCTTGTTGAACATGCCCCTGGAAGAAGAACAGCAAACAAAGAGACGCAATCACAACATGGACAGAATATACGCTGGCAAAGTTGGTTCTCATAGTGATTTATTTACTTTGTCTTCTCGGTGAGCGGCATGTTGAGCACGACGACGTCGCACTTGGGCAGCATGGCGTCGAGGTCCTCCTCGAAGGCGGCGCCGAGCTCCTTCTCCAGCGCGGCGTCGACGCGGAGCCTGTCGTGGTAGAGCAGGTTGCAGCCGAATGGCTTGAGGCGCTGGAGCAGCAGCTTCCCGATGCGGCCGGCGCCGACGGTGCCCACCGTCTTGCCCTCCAGGTCGTAGGCCCGGTGCGCGATGCCGGCGAGGTCCCACTCCCCGTTGATGGCTTGGTGGTGGCCCGGCAGGAAGTTGCGCATGAGGACCAGGATGCGCATCAGCTGGTCCTCCGCCACCGACACGGTGTTGCTGCCCGTGACCTCGGCGACGGTCAGCCCCGCGGCCGCCGCCGCCGGCAGCTCGATGTGGTCGGAGCCGATCCCCGCCGTGAGGAGCAGCTCCAGGTTCTTGCCGCGCCTGATCCGGTCCGCGCTCACGTACGCCGGGTGGAACGGCGTGGTGATGAGCACGTGCGCGTCCGCGATGTGCTTCTCTAGCTCTGCGTACGCGCGCGCGTCCAAAATGACAGGTTAGTGTGGCACTTACCAACGTAATGGTCGCCGCTGGTCGTAAGTAGAGTATAATCATATGTGGCGACTGACCGCAGTTGGGGCCGTCCTTGTCGTCGGTGACGATGTACTGGTGGCCCTGCGACTCGAGCCAGCTACGGATGCCCAGCGCGTTCTCCACACACCCCACGAAGTTGGGGTTCTGCCCCGCGTACTCGCCGCCCTTGTAGAACACGCCCACGATCTTCTTGCTGTCCGGGGACGCCTGGAGAACAAAAGCAAAACAGAGATGAACCCACCGCTAACACATTTTAACATGATCGATAAATTTACGTGTGCATTATCAAATGTGTCAAGACGCATCTAGAGGCTAGTGATAAGTAAGGAAAACAACGTTACATGAAGGCTCCTGGTGAGGGACGGCTCCAAGGCCCGGACCACCTGCTGCGTCGCGTTCCTCATGGCCATGGATGACAGTAGCCGACGACGGTGGCTGTTGGGCAAGAGCTGCTCGTGCTCAAAATCAGCTGGATTGGTGTGCGCTGGTAGTGGCACTGCTGCTGCGAGTGGGCTGTGTGGGAATCGAACACTGAGCCGGGTGCACATATATAGGGCGCAGGAGCCGTGCAACACCCATCGACTCGCCACTGTAGTAGGTTCCCCATTCCCGCCGGTCGTGTACGCACCGCGGGTGCACCTGGGCTGAGCTGGGCTGGGCGGAATAAAAAATAGCAGCCGGGGAGGCATGTGGGCCCGCGTAGGCCGCACGGGCGCCTACGTTTCCGCGGTGCGACACGGGAAGGGAAGTGCGTCGTGACGGGAAAGGACGCGCAAGTGGCGCGTCGCTGGCCAGGCGGCTAAGGGTGAACAAGGAGATGTGAGAGGAAGGCTGTCCCGTCCCGTCACCGCGTCACATCGGCGTCTCCCACTCGTGTCGCAGATTTCATCTCGAGTGACGGCGGCGCGTCTCTCCGATTCACACGGCTCTGCCTGTTTGCTTGGGCTAGCCATTTCCAACGCCGCCTCGCAAAACGAACACACGGTACGATGCTCCCTCAGTCCGTAAATACTTAGTCCGAGAAACGGTCAGATTTTTTTTAGAATACGCATGAGTATGCGTATCATCTGTTGATAGAGAGAAGAGGGTAGAAGAATATCCGTCCGCATAGTTACTTGGTTACAGCCCGAGTACGGGCAAAAGCCAGAGGCCGGAAACAAAAAACTACGTCTCCCCGCTCACCCGTCCGTCTACCTAACCATCTAGCACGGTGAGGACTGGACCATTAGGACCAATGCCCGCTATGCAACTAGGAGGAAGAAATCATAGGCCATCATCTGTCACACCGCGTATTTGCGCGTCAGATTTGAACAGCGATACTTCATTCTTTGGACAAGCTAGACTGGGTGCCAACAGTGGATGACACTCTCTCAGAATGGTGCACAAACAAGAGCGCCAATGGAAAACAAAAGAGGACGATCAATGCTTTATTCTTTCTAGTCACGTGGGAGATTTGGAAGCATCGTAATGCAATTGTATTCGAGGGAGCTAGGTAGGGATGATCCCTCCAGTATAAGCTGACCTATTACTTCTGTAGGTGCCTCAATCCTTCCCATTTTCCTAGTCCATACCGCACTTGGGGACAGGATATGATTGCTTTCTTAAACAAACCTTTTAGAGCGTTGTCATTTCACCAACACATGACTCAATAGTAAGGACTGTCATTGCATTGATATCGCTCATGGATCGTGTTATACTTGGGAAGATCCGGCCCAAGGGGAAGTCTGTTATCCACAACCCAACCTTAGATGAGGGAGAAGTTCACGCTTGATGTTGGACCCAAGACAATGGAAGGGAGCTAAAGCCTTCACCATCGAAGAACTATGTCATCTATAGGATCACGAAGGAGGGGCGCACTTGGAAGCAAGCGGGATTACTAAAAGGAGACCTTAGCGCTTTCTTCAACATGGTGGAAGGGTGGGCTAGTGCGGCAAGTTAGCATAGGAGTAGAGAGTAGAAAGTAGAGGTGGTGAAGGTGTTCATGTAAAATCTTGTAACATTATCGTGGAGGGGCTCTTCACCCCATTTCGTTCTTTATAATATAGTACACACACTCGTGCGTATTCGAGAAAAAAAAGAAAAGAAAAATGTCGCTATGGAAGAACCCTGCAAGAACCCATTCCCTCCCCATGTCCACGATGAGCCGTTGAACGTCGTGCAGAGACAGAGAGGCCTTACCAAAAATGACCGCATTTCGGTGCTTCCATATCTCCCAAAGGACCAGCATCGCGAGGGTGTTGAGGTCCTTCCTGTTCTGTTGGCCTGAGGCGAGCGCCTGCACCAATGTAACAACCAATCGTCCGGCGTCGGAGACCGGTCCTCCTGACCCAAGGCTGAGAGCACCTCGAACCACACGGAGCGGGCGAAGACGCACGCGATGAGCAGATGGTCGATGGACTCTTGCTCCTGGCTGCACAAGAGACATATCTCCTGATGGGTCAAGCCACGTTGCGCCAACCGATCGGAGGTCCAAACCCGGTCCTTGAGCATCAACCAGCTGAATAGTTTGCAACGCAACGGAGCCCTGGAGTGCCAAGTGAAGCTTGCTCCTAAATCATGCTCGCGGCCTATGAACCTGCTGGCGTACATCGATCGCACCGAGAACACACCAGATGTCTCCCAAGCCCAGCGGACCCTGTCCGTAATCCTCGGACGCAGTTGCACCTCCGCAACCTTGTTCCACAATGCAAGGAACTGCTCGAGCTCAGGTTGAGATAGGTCCGGTCTGAGATCCCTCGCCCAGGCACCCCCTGCTGCCTCCGCCATCGATCGCGAGGCCTTGAATCGGGGCCGGATCTTCGCGTAAACCAAAGATGCGATCTCCTGCACCCTCCACCCATCGAGCCACCGGTCCTCCCAAAAGAGGCAGCAAGAACCATCTCCTAAGTACACGAATATAGCCGCCTGATATATTTGGAGTGAAGTCGCCATCGTGTCGATCTCGAATTCTGTCCAGGGCCGTGAGTTGTTCGTCCTCCGCAGCAAAATCCAACGAGCCCGCATAGTGATGACCCACAAGTGTAGGGGATCTATCGTAGTCCTTTCGATAAGTAAGAGTGTCGAAC